ATTAGATAAAGTTTCACTTTCGGTGATTAATGTTGAATCAACAGTAGAAACAATATTTGTCGTTGTTGCTTCTGTCATATTATTATACGTAAATTGAACAAGAAATTCATTCTGATTTCATTTCTTAGTAACTTCAGCAAATAGCGCTATTAATTATTTATTTATATTATTCTTTCATAATAGTCTTGATAGAATAAATAATTAATTTTAGAGAATACAGTCTAAATAATTTTTGAAAAGACAATAATTTTTATTGAATTCATGATATGAAACAATTAAAGTATTATGTTTAATAGAAAATGACTTAGTGAGAACTTGAACGAAGTAATAGAAAAATAATTCATTATGAAAAGAAAACAGCAACTAAAATAAGAAAAAAACCGTTGATATTAATGAAGTTAAGTTTTTAAGAAAAACAAAAGTTTAAAAAAGAAATAAACGTTTTTTTTTTTATTAGATGACTATTCAAAAAGCCATCTATTAAGTATAATAGCATGAGACTTTCCGTAGAGGTTTTCCGGTAGAAAGTTAAAATATGTAGTGATGTTATTATATAGCATCGACATGAAATCGTGAATTAATATTTAAATTCTTTTATTATGATATACTCTCTGATCTTACATTACGTTTCAGTTATTCTTTTATTCTTCTTTCTATATTTGAATATAATAATTACGTATTCATCGAGAACAAAGTAGTGGAACAGACATACATTAAGTGTATATTAAAGTTACGTTTTGACTTGAACATCTTTAGCAAACACTAAAAAAATATTTTTGGGGCATTTAGTTTAATCAATTTCACTACCATCGGATCTATTGTTTATGTTTCAATTCTTGTTACTTATGACGAAAATGAGAAAATCAGATGTAGAGATAAATAATTTCGTTTTCGATCGGAAGAAAAGTCAACTTTGCTGATCTCTGGTCAAATAACGATATGGTTATTGCATTAATGATGACAACAGTCCAGTACGCATGTACCAACATACGAAAGATCAGTATTTTATGATGGAAAAAAATAGCATCTGCTTGTGTAGGTTGCAATGAATAGTAGGAATCCACTAGAAACAAATATCAAAGTTGATCGAGTTCATATTTTTTTATGGAGTCTTCCTTTAACTTCACTTTCTTCTATTTTTTTCTTTCTTTCTTTACTTTTTCTTGCTGTTTCGAAGCGACACTTTCACTGGATAAAAACACACACTCTAAAACTCGATAGACGACTAAACTTCTCTCCATCATAGTCGTTAGGAAAAAATGGACAATATTCAAGAAATTTCAAAACATTTATTCAAATTAAGAGATAGTCATTGATAGACTTATAATATTTGAATTGTAAATGAATCTGCTTGGAAATAATTATTCTAAATAAAATAACATCATACAACATGTTTATTAGAGCATATATAAACGAACTTCAGTATTCTTTAGAAAACCGATCATAACTATCAAACATATTACTTGTACAGATTTTGTCAATGATTAGAATTAGCAATGTTCGTATACAGTTGAGTATAATATAAATGAACAATCGATAACCTATTCATATCTATGTAAATTTCTCAGTTGAGTTTTGTTATGTCTACTGATTATATAAAAACATATATTGATGCTTCAAATATTGAAGGCAACAAATAGTTCATGTTGCTGAGTCATTTCTTTCGAAAACAATTCAATTTGGATTGTATTGTCGTACAAAATATTTTCCGTGTTTTATTGTGTCTGGCTCCCAAAAGCCTATCTCGAGTTTTTTATAAGCATGTTCTTATCTTCAGTTTAATTGTTTCTTTTTATTATTTTACCTAGAGATTTATCATATCATTAAAGTTTTTTAAGATTGTAATATATATTTCTCTAAATTCTTGCTATTGATTTAATCTGACAATTCGTTGATTGTGAATTCTATTATGCAAATCTATTCTTAAAATCATGAACAACAATCAATCCATATATTTTAATGTTTCATTCAAATATACTTAATACGGTAGACAAGTGGATATTTATTCATCACCGTCAACTTTTATTTTTTTTTAGTATTTATGCTTCAATCATTCATATGTAATTAATCTGTTTTTTTATTCAGTTAATCTTACCTACACCGACGGGCAACAGTCTTTCCATTTTCGTTCTTTTCATATGGTGTCTCCTTGATCTCAAGTGAATCCTAGTTACAAGAGTGGCTCAAATACTGTATATTAGTGTAGTCTATGATCGATTATGACTTGCATCAATGAAGAATGCATATCATTTAATACAATCGAATAACGTTACAAATGAGTTAGTTGACAGAATACTTCATAGCTAGGTTATCTCTTTTTTTTTGGTTTTTTCTGAATGTTCTGCTAGTTCCATTTTATCTATATGTGTATTATCTTGTGTACCACATTTCTCGAAAGAGATTAGAGTCGACGATGAAGAGAGTTTAATGATTCAAACCAGTACAACAGTTAGTAGATATAAAAAACGAGATAACTGAGTCATAAAACATACTATTAATTAACTTATCTGCAGTGTTGCTCAATTGTCTTGAAAGACATTTATTCTTCATTGAAACAAATTGTCATTTATCATATCCTACACTACAATAAAGTACTTAAACCATCTTTGTAATCAACATTCACTTACTTATAACTAAAGATGTTCTGCGCGGAAAGAATAAATGGGAAGGAGGAAGATAGGGAGAGAAGAAGATTTTCGTTCACAGGTGTGTGTGATCGTAATAATTGTAAAATAGTTAAGAATCCAATTTTTTTAAACTGATATTCAAAGAGTTCATGTTTGTCATGTAAATTATAAGTGAATTCTTTCTTTTTCTTTGACCATCCTAGAGGTATATATGAAATTATTGTAATAACTTTTCTTTTAGAAAAACAGTAATCAAGTATTATCGATTTTTCTACTAGAACTTCAAATATTAAATATTATCAAAACTTTAAAACAAACTTTGGCAAATATATAACGGTTGAAACTATGAAACAATGGAATTTACTAAGTGTATTTACTTCTTTATTCTTGGATTTAAAGACTGAATAAATTATTATGAATCTTTGTTTACTCCAAAGTAAATATAATCAATGTTCGATTGCAAAAATTTTAAGAATGATTTTAAAGTTTTATAATCTGAAAGTAAGATATAGAGAAACTTCTCTAATGAAAATATTAATCAGAAACGATTTCAATAGAAGAAGTAATTATGTTTGCTTGGTATGACTTACTAATGATCTTATCAGACATATAATTTTATTTCTTTGATGCAGAAGATTTAATCATATATTAATAATATAGACCATCAACATATGATGTAAAAACTAAATAAATAAAGACTTGTTTAATAGTTGTGAACACAAACTTCTATAGATCACAAGTGTAACATGTTAAATACGAAATGGAATAGAATAAATATTATGAATTTATTTATTTATTAAGATCTGAACTCATTAGTAAAAAGAGAATCCTTTTCATTGAATGTACCTAAGTTTTTTTACGATATCTTTAGATAACCAAAGAAATTAATGAATGGTCAATAAATAATGACAATTTGATTTTATGCGTTTTGATGAACGAAATATTGTTTAAAGGCATCATTCTAAGCTCATGTAGTAAAGAATTTTTCGCTCTACAAAAAAGTGGACTTCGTTGTTTTAATAAGTTGTTTCTTGTCGATGAAAAATTGGAAAGATTGATCGCTGCTTCACTGCCTAACTGCGCCCTCCTATTATTTTCTACGGACATCTAATGATTGGTGCAAGCTCGTATTTATCCAAGGTGATGCCGAATACTTCACATTTGGCATCGATAGATTAAACGTATTATGGCCTATAATCTAAAGATTTTATCATAGCTCGTAATAGCGTCGTTCAGATACAAAATGTTTGGCACTAACACCTGTTAGTATTTTGTTTTACTTAGATTTTCAAAACTCCTGTTTTCAAAGATTAGTATTTTCAATGAACAGTTTATCATTATCATTATTGGACACAGAATTTTATTGTGAATAAAATGATATAATATTGAAACCAGACGACGTAAATCTTTAAATTATTTTCAATGGCATGGAGATGGTAGAAAAAATCTTTTGTGTTGCTTTCTAATTTTTGCTTGAAAAGTTGTTCTTTTATTTGTTTGTTTTTGATAGAATTACGAAAAATCGCAAGATGTAGCATATTTCGAAGTTCGGTGGAACTGATATTTATACATATTTTTAATAATTGTTCTGTTTTTTTGACAGTCGCAGTTCAATGATCGAGTAGCTGTCACTTTTTTTGATTTTTCTTCTTCATAAAAACTTTTTATGAAGAACGAAGTTGATAGTTTTATGAAACAAAAAGTTCCCTATCGAACGATCTTAAAATATGTTTTTAAACTGTGTTGTTATCTTCAAAAACAAAAAAGAAAATCAAAGTGTCCTATTCTGTATAGGTCGACTGTTATTTCTTACATGTGAAGAAAGTACTAGATAAATAATGAGATTGAAGAATAGTAGAATGTAAGCAGGAGATTAGTGAGTACAATACTGCTATGAAAAACAGTGATGGATGTTTTTGTTTGAAATCATATTTATTCAAGATTTTGACAACTAATCACCTATCGAAACCTCGAATAAATGTGATTTTTCATAAAAATCTCACTATGCTTTTTTGTAGCTATGTTATAGTTACGAACTTCTAATTATTTATCATTCTATGTATGTATGCGCGCATAACTTTTTGATTATTGATTTAATTACACAACAGTGTGTGTACTGTGTTGCTTTTTTTTATGATTCATCGATAGAAAATATACTCTCTGGACTGCAGATTTTCATCCAACAACATTCGATGATAGCTGAAAGTCGATTAAGGCGACTAACAGACTTATATAACTGTAAGTGTTGAGAGATATTTTTTTATTTATCTGCCGTTTTGTTAGTGTAGCTGTCATATTTTATACATCGCTTCAATATATCATATCGATATGCAAAAATCATTATTCTTGCTAACTTTCACTTTCTTTTCAACTATGAGTGCAGTATCAGAATATAATGAAATTAAGGAACAATTGAATAATGTATCAGAACAACTCAATCGAGTTGAATTATTACTCAATAATAGTATGAATCAGTTATTGAATAAAATCGATGATAGTAACCGTAATATAATAGATTTATTCAAATCTCGTTATACTTCACTAGCAGATGGTGAGTTCCTCTTTTTTTCTTAGATCTTTAAAACAAAGAAATTTTAATCATTCATATTAATTTTATTTTTATTTATCTATTAATTTTCATAGATCAACAACAATCTTCTAGTCGACCAGTTAATGCTCTTCTGATTATTGATGTACAACATGATTTTATTAATGGAAGTCTTTCTCTTCGAAAATGTCCATCTAAACATAATGGTGAAGAAGTTGTTCCAGTTATAAATCATCTTCTTGATTCCATAGATTTCGATGTAGTTGTTTATAGTCATGATTGGCATCCTAGTGATCACATATCGTTTTTTGATAGTCTTCATCTTCGTTCACAATATCTTACTAATGATTCAACACCTTTAGCTGATCTTCGTCCTTATTCAACGGCAATATTTGATATTCCTGGTGTTGCTCGTATGGAACAAATTCTTTGGCCTGCACATTGTGTTCAGAATACATCTGGTGCTGAACTTCATCCGGATTTGAAAGTAATCGATGAAAAGAATACACGAAATATATCAGTTATTCATATATATAAAGGAACAAAATCCGATATTGATTCATATTCAGCTTTTTGGGATAATTTAAAATTAAGTGAAACAACATTACATAAATCATTAACAGAAAAACAAGTTACACAAGTATTTCTTACTGGTCTAGCAACAGACTATTGTGTATATTTTACAGCAATTGATGCATTAGAACATGGTTATAAAACATTTCTGATTGAAGATGCAAGTCGCGGAGTAGATCCAAAAACAATCAAGGAAAGACTTGATGAATTTACACAGAAACATGGCCGAGTTATTCAATCTAATCAAGTGAAAAACTACATACAACAATAATCGTTATGGATTTGTTCTTTTTTTATAATCATCAATGGATATCAAATATTTATTAGTTTTCCTCTTTTTATTAATCACTAATACTATACCTATCATTTGTTAATAAACTTTAAAAGAAAAACGAAATTCTAATGAAAATATTTTATATACTATTTTGACTACAAAAATCGCTTAATGTTTAGCTTCTATTTGATAAGTATCAAGTCAACAGAAAGTAAACTATTGCTGCTGTCCTTATAGTACTATACAGAATCGTATTTATTCATCATGTAATATCAATGTAAATGTGAATCGAAAAGGTCAAACATCAATATAGAATAGATTTTATATGAAATGAATCAATATGACTTTCAGAATTAACTGAGCTACATCTTACAAAAGTTAGAAGAGTCAATTTTTTCATACCTAACGACGACATCTACATTAATTTTGATATGAAGTATTTGAAAACTTCCATAATATCTTATTAGTAAACATTCGAATCAATTTGATATTTATTGCAACAGTTATATCATGGAATTTCTAATAGGATATTCGTGTGAAGCAATCATCACTGTTGCCAAGAACGCTTTGACAGTACGATGAGTCATCTATCGATCTGCATAGAATGGCGTGATGCTTCGAATATTGGTAGCAACGAAATAAAAATGTATTACTCTATTTTATTTTTCTATGTAAACAATAAGAATAAGGGAAAGAATGAGTAGAAAATTGCATCAATATGATGAGTTTCAATCACCGAAATCGTTAAACGTTACCTCAACAGTGTTAGACGGTAAGATATATCTCTTTTTTGTCTTAATATGAAAATGAATTTTTGATTTTATATTAATATACAAGATTATTTAACATATGATTTAAATTTATCAGATGGTGTTTTTACTGATCTTCTCTCAGACTTCGATGTCAATACAAACGATATCCAATGTATTGATAGTTCGACAAATGACATAAACTCCTTGCATACATCTTCTGATCTTCCTTCATCATACAAGACTACTTTACATTCAGCAGCAATTGACAATAACGGACAAACTCTTCAAACAGAATTCGACGAAGTACTGTCTCCAGAAGTATTCAAATTATTAATTGAACAATATCAACAGCAACAAACAAATAATGAATTGCCATTCTCTGCTTCAAGCTGTTTGCCAACAGATCATCATGAAGTACTGTAAAAGTAAAAAAAGTAATACTATATTTGTGATTATGTATTAGTTTGCATCGACGAATACATCAAACGGTCAAGTAGATCAAATCATTTTTACAAGACAACAAACAATGAACTGCTCTCAATCATCATTATCATCTGTTCAGTTTCCTAAGTTAATTGAGAAACCTGAACCAATTACAATTACCTACGATCAATTTCAAGCAGTAAGCATAAGATCATTTTTATCTTGTTTCTTTTTTGAAAATTCTCGATCTTTTCTAGTTAATGCATTCTATTCCGAATACATCGACAACAAGTGCTAATACAATTTCCACTCTTCTTGAAAATAGTACTATTATTGCAAATAATATTCCTTTAAGAATTGTTCACCAAACAAGTCATAATCTTATTTCTAATAGTTCAGATAAATTTAGTCATCAAGACTCATTAACAGAAAATAATAATAATAATAATAATAATACTGAATCAATCATTGTAAATGGAAATGGTAATCGTTCTCGACGAAAGTTATCACATACTGCAATTGAAAAACGATATCGATCTAGTATTAATGAAAAAATAAATGAATTGAAAGAAATTGTAGCAGTTACTGATGGAAAGGTAGGCGAATAAGTAGTTAGAAAAAAAAAATGAAAAAGATTGATTAGAGTGGCAATAGATAAGTCTATCGTCAGTTGATAACATGGACAGAGCAATTGGTTTTCTTTCTTCTTTTTTTTCTGTTCGACAGCTTACTGATTAGATGCAGTCTATCTTCTAGATTATCTCATCTACTAAATAAAGACTAATCATGTGTTGAAAAGTGTTTTTTTTTCGTATTGAATAGATCCAAAAATCTGGTATACTTCGACATACAATTGAATATATTCGACAACTTCAATCAACTAATCGTCGATTAGAAGAAGAAAATAGTACCTTGAAAAACATCTTGAAACAATTAAATTTGACAAGTATGTTTATAATCATTTTTCATCTGTTGAATATCTAATTATTTTAATAGATATTTCAATATTCTATTTTATTTTATTTTGATTTGTCGTCTTTTTTTCTTGTCTCATGAGACCTGTTACATTCAAACGATAGATAGACACAAAGCAGTAAGCTGCTGTCATCACTCGTTCCATAGCATTGATTGCTTTCTTCTTTTATTAGTTTTAGATAATGCGAGTGTACTTGAGAAAGAAAAAAAAAGAAAAAAAAAAAAAAGAAAAGAGCATTAGCTTATATTTCCCTATAAAAAGCCTTTATCTACACTGCGATTTATTATTTCTTCTTTCTTCGATTCAGGCACTGATCGTCCAAGTAATGATGTTGATGTACAATCATCGGGTAAAATTTCTTCGACGAAAAATCCAACATCAATATTTAGTACTGATTCAAATGGTGAAGTATATAACCCTGCTAGAAAAAGTAAAATAAATAAACAAATAATCATTTTTTTATTTTTTCAATAATTTCTTTTGATTATAAAGGAAAAAAACCAACGAAAAGTAAACGTGGTATGGTTGATGGATCACGATTAGTCTTATGTTGTTTTATGTTATGTGTACTTATAATAAATCCATTTAATTATTTACTTGATCGTATCCATTCATCGAATAATGGTGGTACAACTGAAATACAATCAACTCTCAGTTCAAGAACATTACAAGCAGTAAAAGATAATGAAAATGTTAATACATTATGTAATAAAAATTTTTCTTCCAATTGAATTATTTTTTTTTTTTCTTTTTTTTATTTAGTATTTTTGAGTATATCATGGAAACATCTTATTGCATGGATGCTCAATATAGCAATATGTCTTGTTTGTCTTGTAAAAATTTTTGTTCATGGAGAACCCATCGTACATGAATTAGATATGGATGAATATTATGTTTATAAGAAAAAAGCAGATGCACTTATAAATGAAGTATGTTAATAATAGGATGAATTATTTCCAATTATTTTGTTCTAGTAGTAATAACGCAGTTCGATAGGATAATCGTAAGGAAAGGAAATACTTTAATATATGATTTCAAAGCGATCATTGCCTTTTATGACATGAACTGATAAAAAAGATTTTCATTTTTTCTTTGCTAAGAACCATTCTCTATAATCCTCGAAAAGAATTCTGAAATTTCGTCAATTAATGAGTTATCATTCTTCTACAGGCAGACATATAAAAATCAACTACTACAACAAGAAAATATTTCTATTTGAATGATTTTGTAACTAATCGTTAATTCAATAAAGCAACCATAGTTATTCATTAAAAATTTAAACTTTCTAAATACTTTGAAGTTAGTTTTATAAGAGTTTATCTGTGAAGTAATCTGTGGCGAGGAGCTGTTTCGAATATTTCTAAATCAGATCAAAGTATAATTGTAAATTTTGTTTTATTTTTGAAAGAATCAGTTAAACGAAGCATATATATATTATCGAAAATGTTGTGAAAAACTTTATATATCAATTGATAATACATATATTTATTATTTGTCTTCCATAACATGGCAAATAATTCGTTTCTTTCTTAATATTATATTTGTTGGACGTTGGTTAACATATTGGTCAGGTTGGACTAAATCAATAGATACACGTAATTATAATCGTGAATTAAATGATTGTTATTTACAATTATGGAAAATAGAATATCGGTATTCAAAATCCTTATTAAATATTTTAAACTTGTTTTTATTAACAATAAATACATCTATAAATTCAGGAAAAAAATTAGATAAAAATAAAAGAAATGAAATTTGTTTTCTATCGGCATTAACATTTAAAAAACTAGATGGATTATTTCCTATATTTATATCATATTTATTAAAATTTCTTGTACCAATTGATATTAATGATATATGGTTATTAGATATTGATCGTTTAAATCAATTCATATATGAAACAAATATTTATTTATTTAAAAATAAATTATTTCTAGAATCAATACGTATTCAATTTTTTCAATATATTCTTTATAATAATATACAAAATCAACTTTTATTTCAAAATGAACAACAACAACAACAACAATGTATAATTAAAAATATAAATGAACTTGATCTATTTTCATGGTGGCAACATAGTTTACAAGTTATAAGTTGTATTTCAAATGATAAACAAAATATAAATAATATAACATCAACAGATTTACTTCGACAAATAAATTCATCAAACAAAACTATCTATTATATGGCACAATCAAAAAAACTTGTTAAGTATGTTATTCTCTTTTTCAATTAAATTCATTTATGTTTTTAATTTATTTATTTCATATAGTGAACAATATATTAAGATTATTGAAACTATTCATATTATACTTACTATATTAACTAATTATGATGATGAAACAAATTCAACAAGAATATTATTACTTGAACAATTAGGACAATCAAGTCAATTATTAACATCATCTAAGATTGAGACATGTTATATTAATAATAATGAAGATAATTTGGATATGGTAGGTTTGTTATCTTTGGTTGATTATGCTTTTGTCTTCAGCCTCTTGTGCATTGTTGTTGCATTGCATTCACGAAATTTGATATATGCAATGAAAAGGACAGTGCAACAAGAAAGTGGAGAGCTCCGACAACTAAATATATTCATAAATTATTATTTTTATAGAATATTTTATTATTATTTAATATTCTAGGCAATCAAAACATTATTATTAGATGGTATTCTATCATTACGTCTTCGTCTTCTAACAAGTTCAATCACAAATAATAATAAAAAAATCCCATTTCTTGATGATTTTCAACGAGAATTAGATTATTATAGAAGACTAAATCAATTAATGAAATTACCAAAACAAAAAGTAAATAATTTTAAATATTTATTTTATTAATATATATATATATATATGCGCATTTTTTTCAGCTTTATTTATTTGAATCAATATTTCGTACAACATCTGGTTTAAATCCATTAATGACTCAAACATTATTCGAATGTGCAATGAAACAATCAAATTCTATGATTCAAACAAAACAAGGTAAACATTCAAATAAAATTATGAAAAAAAAATTAATTCATTATTATTAAATTTAGAATCATTACCAAATCTTGATATAATAGCAGCACTTTTACTTTTTTGTCATTTTTTACCATCAACAGTATATCGTTATCGAAATATTCTTCAACAAGCTGTTGCTATTTCATCAAAAACAAGGAAAAACAATGATCTTAATCGTTTACAACAGCAATGTTTGACATTAACACGTCGACCATATTTTACTTTGTAAAAAGTTTTTTATAATTTTGTCTAGATTTTTTGTTTCCAGAGTTCTCTTTGTCTTTTTGTTGAATAGACATGCTATTCTTTTCATAAGTTTGTTACTATGTGACATTTCTATAGTATCATTTGAAACGAATAACATTTTTTCTAGGTATACACATCTAGATCTTATATTGTTGCTTGAAAAATATAGATAAAATAAACTTTAATGTGCTTCATAACTATGTTACAATTGTCTTTTCTAAATATGATTTTCTTCTCTGAAATAGTCATAACAATATGTTATTACATTTCAGTAAAAATATATCAAAAATAATAATTTAAAGTATAACAACATTGAATCATTTGAAGTTGTTACATATACATGCTTGATAAAAAATCTTTTTCTTAAGACTTTCTCGACTCAGAAAAAAGTCAATTTTTGTCACAATTAGCGAAATTAAGATAAATGCATGATAGACTAGTTCTAGATCTGATCTTTCAAAAATGACATGTTTTTTTATTTAGCATTTTTTTTTGTCAAAATTTTTGATGATTTCTGTCATCAACTACTCGAAAAATATATCGTTTTCAGAAAAAAAAAATCAGGAAAATTTTTTTGTTTTTTCTCTAATTACGCTTTTTTAATCACGTATATCAGAATTTTTGAGGGAGATTCATTGTAGCCAATTCCTTTATTTCATTTGTAGAAGTACTTTTATACTTAAAGCACCATTTTTTGCGAGTTTTCAAAGACATTAACTTAAACGTTAACAATTTAGAAAAAAGGGTTCTGTCAAACTCTGCATCCTGATGTGTTCTTTCAACACAAAAAAACTAACCGAAAATCGATTTTTGAGAGGAGACTTAAATATTGAGGCTATTGTTATAAATTCTATGAAGTTGATTGATAACTAGAAATAGTACGTATTGTTTAATTGTCAATGATTGATTTGTGACTAGATATCAATAGGTATGTTCTGATCACAATTTATGTATAGGAACTATCTCTATATTTCAGCTGCGTAAAGATGTCAGAATTGAATCAAGGACCAAGAATAAATTCATCTCAATATCTGTTTCTTCGATGATGATTACTTCGTAGTATTTGTCGGAACCTTGCGACGCAGAAATGATATATTTTTTTGCTAGAAATAACTGACGAAATGTTTGCAACGATTCCAGGACATTTAGATATGTCTATGTTTAGAAATAGAAATATCAGAAGTCTTCTAATGCTATCTATCTGTCTCAAACGCTTCTTTTATGTATATATATATATGTGTGTTTGTGTATGATTCATTCAACACTTCAACAATTAAATAAGACAACTGTTGATTGTCTTATCAAATCGTTACGTCCAAAATGAAGCCTATTTTTAACATGTAAATACGCGTGATATTATGGCGTTTTCAGTATGCCTACATATGGTATCATTTTGTACTTCTAGATAGAGTAAAACTGCGACAAAATAAATTTGACATATTAAAAAAACAATTTTTGAAAAATTAATCGACAAAATAAAAGTTTTTTCGTTTGTAAATGAGTACGAAAAAATATCTGATTTTATAATTTTTTTTTTCAAAATAAATTTCATCAATTATTGATCTACCTTTACTATTATTCATTTATATCTGTTCTCAAATATTGACTCAGGAATATGTAATTGCCAAAAAAAGCTAACCTTGCTACAGAAATATTTGATTTGTGACTGTATGTTATTACAATACATTAAAATGATCTATCTATTTAACTTCTAGCTTCTTTTCGATTTGTTTTTGTACTTTTTTTGATGAGGTTTGATAAATGAAGCCTTTTTCTTGTTCTTTAATATGACAAAGAAATTTTTTTATTTAATTTTTCGACGAATATTGTTCTTAACACGTTTTGATAAAATACAAAGTTTCGTTGGATCAGAAAACCTTCAATCAGAGAAATAATTATCTATCTTTATACTTTTCCCTCGTGATCTTGAGAATGAGAGTAGAATGTAAAATCGACTAAAGAAAAATTCCTTGATTGTAGACGCCAATCCTGGACAATATTTTCATTTCAAATATATCTTATGTATGAGACAAACGATAGTTTCAGATGCAAAAATGTGTTACTAGTTGAAGAAATCTGATTTATTAAATTGTTTGCCATGTTCTTCTTTCTTCATAATCAATATCGAGATATTTGATACCATATTGCTATATACTTGTCTATTTAAACAAATCAGAATAAAATATCGTAACCAATAAAATACAAATTTCAATTGATTTTGTTAAAAACGTAAGAGAAAAATTAGATAAATTCTTTTTTTTCAATAGATATATTTCTGATTGTTCAGAAACTATCTCAATACCTCCTACTTGCTTTTAATCTATTCAAAATTTCGATCGTAAACAATCAATATATCAATATTTTATTGAATTCAATAGAAAAATCATGTAAATATATTAGCGGCATTCTTTTGTTTAAACTTTTCGTTGAATGATTTTTGTCAAATTTACTTAGCTGATCGATAATGTTCATTCGACACATTTTACTATAATAATCATCATAACTGCATTAAATATCAAAGTAGATTTCGGATGATTTGATTTTATTAGTGAAGTTTTTTAGTACCAGCTATCACAGATAAGATCTTGATGAAATTTTCTATTGTAGTAATATTAACTAAAGTATTTTTTGCATCAATAACTAGTAGAGTATTGCAACCATAGATGTTCTTAATTGATGATAGTTTTTAATATTTCACATGTTGTGTAACTGATTCTTTTGCTCAAGATGATAAGAATTTCTGAAACTGCGTTTAAACACCTTACTCGCAGTTTTTTCATCTGAATGTTTTTAAACACGCATTCAAAAAACAAAAAAAATCAGCTACTTTCACCGTAAAAAATGCGTTCAGGCGCTTAAAAAAATGCAACTGTTCCATCTGCAATATTCTGACGCATTGTGCATATAAAAATAACTTTTCAAGGCGTGTTGTATGTCAAAAAAATTTGTTAGAAAACGTTGTAAGCGTCTTGGTGCATTTTTCATGACGAAAATAACTAGTTCTAGCGTTTTTTTCTGAACAGATACTAAGACACTCAAATGAGAACTGCAATAAAAGCGTTTAAATGCATTTTAATAAGTTCTTATCTGCTTGGGTAGAAAATATTTCTTGAGATGAACTTGTAGATGAAAAAAAGAAGCTAATGAGTATCTTTACATTTGATGATTCAACAATGTCCTCTTCTTCATTTACAGAATTTATAAGAGGTTCTTTTATAACAAAAAAGTTCAAATAAATTAGGTCTAGTCAACATTTAGGCATAGTATTTATTGACACATATAATAATGTAGTTATATATTGATCTTTTATTTAACGACATCCTTGTAATTATCTTCATTGCGTCAATATATATATAAGTACATATCAAATAAGATAAAAAAATTGATATTGTGTACTTTTATCGTACTAGAAGTTATATATAGAATTTTAATGAAAGGTTTCAATCATAGATAGGTAAAGTACACGAGATCTTTCTTATCATACTTTGGCTTTTACAATCCAACAATAACGGTATATAAAAAGACAACCCTATTTCACTTATTTAATACAAATGACATCGATTTGAATCAAGTAATATATATCCTTATACGAGTGTTTTGGCAGTTAAGTTATCAAAATATAAAGAATCATCGACGAATTCTTTTTCAATAAAATAAAGGTTTGTAGACATACATAATTAAGAATAAAACAATAAAACAATTCTTCTTGTCCCTTTTTTTTCTATATTTATTATCAATTGAAGTAAGGGCAAAAAGTTGATCACTCTTATATCGTTGTTTTTTTTGTTCTTTTGTCTCTAAAACAAAAAAACAAGTTAGTATTGGATATCTAATGCATGTTTAAGCAGTAAAGGTGAAATATAGTTAAAAATGGATCATGACACAATCTTATAAATAGAAACTGAGTCTTGTGACAACAAAGATTATTCGAGAAATTGAAAAGAAAAGAAAATTTCGAAATAATAATGCAAATAGAATGTGTCATTTAGAGTTACAAAACAATTGAAAACGATTGACTAATTTCAAAAACTTGAATAGATGCAGCTTGAAACTAATAAGAATATATGCATCTGCATACTGATATGAAATTCATTTCATAATCCAATCTTCTGTACTATCACTTGAAAAAAATTTGATTCTAGACAGAACAATTCTAGATCTATTGGTATTCATTTTCAAATACAATCATTAAAACTTTACAGTAAGTAAATTCATAAAATACCGCTGAAATCTATAAACCATATTAGAACCGTACAAAACTCAGCTTCGTCTGAAAGTTTAGTAATATCGAGATGGAAAAAACTTGACTATCATTTATCAAGACCAAGAAATTATCACTACTTCCAATTTTCGTTGAACGGGAAGCAACCAATAATTGAAAGTAATATTTCAATAGATTTATTTCAAACACACATGAAATTCTTCAATCCCATGATAATTAATACGATGTATTTTTTGCATTCAATAGAAAAGAATAAAAAACTAAATCACAAAATGATGCATCAGTGCTCATTATCTTGAAACATCTCATGTACGAATCATTTTTTCTGACATAAAATCTATGCATTTTCAAGTCGATACTACTAAACTTTCAGAAAAACTTGAATTTAATTAGTACGGTTCTAATCCGGTTGATAAATTACAGCTAGATTTTAGAACTTTATTTGCTGAAAAAATCTATGATTGTATGCAAAAATAAATAGGAATAAGTTTCAATTCTAACTCACAGCGCAGAAGTTTCCATTTTAAATAAACATTTTTACGCAAACAGGCAAGTATTTGTGAAAACGTATTTGAACGCCATAATCACAATTCCTGTTTGGGTGTCTTTACGCCCATTGAGAAAAGAATAGAACCAGCCACTTTCATAATAAGAAAATGCACGAAAACTTTCAAAAATTTTTCTGATAATATTGCTGTACATGTACTACGCATACGACAGTCATTTTTTATATGCGATATTCGTCAAAATATTCCAGAAAA